CCTGCTGAAAGAAAAGAATCTGTGAGGGCTTGACTACATGACTTAATTAGACCGTGTCTTGTCATTTTAAGATTGAAGGTGCATGGAGAGCAGATGGCAAGGGACTCAGTATTTGGGACACATATTCTCACACACCACTGAGGGTTGAGAATGACGACATTGGAGACGTGGCTTGTGACAGTTATCACAAGACTGCCGAGGATGTGGTTGCCCTGCAGAACCTGGGCGTGTCCTACTATCGCTTTTCCATCTCTTGGTCTCGAATCCTCCCTGATGGAACCACCAAGTACATCAGTGAAAAGGGCCTGGACTACTACGTGCAGCTCATTGACGCACTGCTGGCTGCCAACATCAAGCCCCAGGTGAGGCTGGGCCCTGGCCAGGCCTGTCCACAGGGGGGAGCCAGATGGGCCAGGGAGCATGTTCACTGTTTTCAAGTTTAGTTTTTGAATTGTCAACAAATTCACATGGTGAAGAATTTAAAAAGCATAAGAGTCTGCAGTATAGATTTTCCTTCCATCCCTGACCCCCAGTCATCCAGTTCTCTTCCTAACAAGCAACCAAGTTTGCCAGGTTCTCATGTCCTTCTTTTGTGTATAGAAGTCAGAAGATGTGTATATGTGCACGTATATCCGTTTCCCCCTCTTTTTTTCATAATGGTAAGACACGTACGTGCAGTTTGGTACTTGCCTTTATTTAACAATATTTCTTACAGATATTTCCATATCTGTGAATTTTCCTTGTTTATTCTTTTTGTTGTTGTTGTCGTGTGGAATTGCTCGTACCTAACTTCTCTAATCGCTTCCTTGTTGAAGGGCACTCTTCCCTGTGAGGTCTCTGCTCTTTTGCCATTATAACTGATATGACAGTGAGTAACCGTAGACATACAGCAATTCGTATGGGTGGAAGTTTATCTGTAGGATATGCTCCTAGAAGCAGAATTGCTAGGGCAAACATGTATGTGTTTTTAAGCCATGAGTCATTATGAATAACACAGAAGCTCATCTGTGGGCTTACTTTGCTATTGCCCAAATTTTAAACTTTACTTGAGAGCCTAAGAACACTTTTCCTTTTCCCCTGGGCCACGTATAAAGCCCTGGAGGGCGCCGGGTCCATAAAGTGATAAGTTTTCTCTGCTGTGGTGGCTGCAGATTATGCATGGCAGCCAGAGCATAATCCTCACACTGCAGCCCCCCTCTTCCCACCCCACCTTTGTCTGGACAAAAAGTGCTATCGACTTCTCACACTGATATCACTGCAGGAATAAGCCAGCCATGGAGTTCATTGTGGCAAGTGCTTGGCGTGATGGGGAGGTGACTGAGTGGCTGTCTTGCAGGATCCCATGATCTGGGTGAATAATAAGATTCATCACATACAATTCAGAACATCAGAGAACACACATCTCAGAGCCAAAGGATTCTGTAGCCCTTGAGGGTGCTGAGACACTGCAGAAAGGAAAAGTGCTGTGACCAGGAAACTTTAGGGAGGTGTGGGTCTCAAACAGAGCATTTGGATGGGTGGGTAGGCGAGGGAAGGGCATTTCAGGCAGAGGGAAAGACTTGGTCCTGGGCGGACTAGGGTTAGTGGCCCAGTGCAGACTGAGGACAGTGGAGACCACCGCTTAGCCGAGATGGATGTGTCATGGGCATTGAGGGGCAAGGCCAAGAGAGAGAAAGGCACCATGTAAGCATAGCCAGAGGGGCTCCTCCCCAGCGAAGGGTTCCCAGCTCCACAGGAAGAAGCTCCAGACACATTAGATGATATCCTTGGGGGTGCCCCATCTTCCTGGACCCTCAGAGTCTCAACTCTCAGTCTAATCAGGCAGGTTCTGATGCTTGACCCCAACCACAGCTGACACTGAAAAGCTGTCAGGATGTCATGAGATTAAGCCTACAACGATTCCATGATGTGGAAGTCTTAGTGCCTGGGCCCAGAGTGTCAGGTGCAGAGCTGGGACTCAAACCCAGGCTTCTCTGATCTAGATGTGTGAATTTCTCACACTTCAACACTGCTGGCCTCCCCCTGCCGCCAAAGAAACTTTGAGCCTTTTTTTCCCTCCTAATTCTCAGCTTTAGCAGCAAACATGCTGGTGCAGATATAGCATCAATGGCTTCCCATGAAAAGTAGGTTGATGGAACTGCTGACCTTGCTTTTTCACAGGTGACCATTTACCACTGGGACCTGCCCCAGGCACTCCAGGATGTTGGAGGCTGGGAGAATGAGACCACTGTACAGCGGTTTAAAGAGTATGCAGATGTGCTCTTCCGGAGGCTGGGGGACAAGGTGAAGTTTTGGATCACGCTGAACGAGCCCTTTGTGATTGCTTACAAAGGCTATGGCTATGGGACAGCAGCTCCAGGTAAAAGGCCCCGGGCCCAGTTTGTCAGCTCTTTAGTGTGGCATTCTTATCACCTGTAAGACATGAAATCCAGGTGGCACTGGAGGAGGAGGCCCAGGAAACCCTAAGGAATGGCCTCGGATTCCTTGCCTCTTGCTCGAGGCTATCTGACAGGCAGCACAGTCTCCCCTCTGACACCACTTTTGCTAAACATGAACTTCACATGTCAGTGCCTCCAAGGGCTTCATTTCTTTGCTCTGTGCCCCTGACCTGCATCAGATGGGAAGCTCCCTGAGGGATGTGGACTGATTGATGAGGGAAAGGACCATTCATCAGGCCGTACAGGTCACGGTCTGTTTTTTGCAACTCCAAAATCCCAAAGTTTTAGATAATTGATTTGGCTGACCTGAGCTCACTCTGACTTAAACCAATAGTCTTTATCCCACTCAGTGTAAACATTCATAAGTTCTGCTGCAGACATGTTAGTGTCCTTGATTACGGAGACGTGTCCTGGGCCCTGCTGGGGTGATATGCAAATACATTATATACAATTTATTTCTTTTCTAAGACACAAAAGTCTTTTTGTTCAAAGCATACATTTCCCTAAAAGATTTGATTAAGGGATTGTGTCCTGTCCCTGCCCCTTCAGAACCACCCAATTTTTCTTTTCTCTAGTTCTGAGCTTAAGAGTAAAATTGTGTTCACATTCCTCATGACCCATAAAAGCCGGAAAGAGCTACTGAGTAATCTGCTTGGAAGTATTACCAGATGTATCTCTCATTGGTCTTTGGTTGACACTTTGGTTTACCAATCCTTCCACATATGAGAAGTGGCCTCATAACATTAGCTCACAAGGAATCTCTGTCAGCTGCTTCCATCAGTTATATTCTCCAACATAACTTTCACAGTGAGTTCCCAGAGAGTGCCAGGATGTTAACTCCTGAGGTACACACTCTTCTGGGTACTTTGCCTGAGACATGTGAGCCCCTCCTTGGGGGAGGGGTACAGAAACCAACATTTATCAAGTGCCTTCTCTTTGCAGATTAGTGCTGCTCGGTGTTTCCATGTACCATTTCATTTCCTTCTGACGAGAACTCTCAATTGCTCATTTTGCAGAGGAAGAAACTGAAAGGCTGAATTGTTTGCCCAAAGTTGCGCGACTTGCTAGTATTCTTACTGGAGCCAGGATTTAAATTCCATTCTTCATAACACCAAAATCTGCATTCTTCCTCCCACATAGTGGACATTGATAGGCAGAGCGACACTCTTGGCCACATTCATTTTTCATTCTCATCCATGTGTATGTTTCCAGGAATCTCCTCCAGGCCTGGCACTGCCCCCTACATTGCGGGCCACAATCTAATAAAGGCCCATGCTGAGGCCTGGCATCTGTACAATGACGTGTACCGCGCCAGTCAAGGTGGCATGATTTCCATCACCATCAGTAGCGACTGGGCTGAGCCCAGAAACCCCTCCAACCAGGAGGACGTGGAGGCAGCCAGGAGATATGTTCAGGTCTGTTTTCCCTCTGGGCAGTTTTTACTTTTGCCTGTTTTCCCCTCCTGTCATGATCTAATAGAAACAGCATTAGATTGCAAAACAAAGATTTAGGATCTAGGTTCTCTTTTGCTATTATCTGAGTCTGTGAACCTGAGAAAATCACCTAACTTTTTGAACCTTAGTTTTCTCATCTGCGAAGTAGAAATCATCTACCTACCTCATAGGTTTGTTGTGATGAAAGTTCTTTGTGGTTGAGTTCTTTTAAGTCTTAAATAATTACTTGTACATGTAGTTACAAGTAATTACACTGGGTGTAACACTGGCTTGAAGCTAACAAATAAAAATTCCATCTCTTAAATCTCTGGTTTGACCGTTAGCTAATAAAGCTGGGCTGCAGTGTCACACTTCACCTCTAGGTGACATCCTCTAATCTCATTTCCTCAGCCTAAGAATTCTTTAAATTGGAAACTAGATTCTGTGAAACCCATTAGTGCCCCTAATTTTCTAATTCCATGAGTTTAACATAAGGACATGCATCTTTTAGTTATAAATTTTTTTCTCCTAGGAAATAGAGACACTAGTAAGTAGGTGCCAACAACATGACCCACCCCTATTTTAGTCTGGGCCCTGACAAGTGGAGAGAGAGAATGGCCCTCATCGTGGCAGTTTCTCCCTGGCTCCCGTGAATGTCTCTGAAGGGGTGAGAGGGCGCCTTTGAACATGTTTGAGCATCATGAAAGAAAGCGAGGGTCTCTCCAGATTGGTCCCCACTTTGGTTTTGTGGAGGGGCCTGCAGACTGTGGCCTTCTGGGGGGACACCAAGGGCCTTGGTTTGCCAAATTCTTCACAAGAAAACTTGAAAAGGTGGTCAAATTAATAACTGCAGATAAAAGCTTAATTTTCCTGTTTGCTAGCCAGCTAAGGGAAAAGTTTTGGAACAAAATGAATACATCCTTCATTTCAGACTCACAGAACATATCAAATTAGAGGAATGATACATTTTCTGAAATCAAAACCCCAAACCTCAGGAAATGTTAGGCTGCAGTCTCATTAGACTGAGTCACTTGCTGGTGGCCTGTGAAACTGCAGCCCAGGACTATGACACGCACATCTTTTAGTAAAATCAGCTTCTATAGAGGGGTCCAATATGTTACCTCAGAACATATTTATCAGAGTATGTGTTTCAAGCCTCATCTCTGACCAAGAATGGAAGGCTGTCCTCACCTCACACTTTGGGCATCAGCTAGCAGGTAAGAGGAGGAAGTGAAGACAGAAGCCTCTCGGGACCCCAGCATCACAGCATTTGGGTGCCATGTATCTTCTCTAAGCATAAGGGTGGCCTAGACCTCATTCAAGAAAATAGAAACATTTGCACTTTAGGGCTGCAAATCCAAGGCCCCAAAATATCATCCTTTGCCTAGGCCACTGGAACAGCCTTGCAGCTCAGCCCTTCCTGGAAAGTTCTGGGTGATCCTTAGGCAAGATGATGGGGAAGGACCTGCTCCATGGTTAAGAGGGGGAACTGCAGCTAGAGGCTTGTAGTCTTGTGTCCCTCTTCCTCAGGGCCCTGCTAAGGGTGGTGTTGACTGAGTCCTAGGCCAGTGCTTGATTCGGTTCATCTTCCCTCACGCCGGCCTCAGTGAGACTACAGCTAAGCAAATCAAATGCAGTGAACAGACCTTGGGGACTCAAGGTGCAGCAAGCAAACAGCTACAGGGGAGACGAGAGTTTAAGATTGGGGAATGGGAGAATGTGGCGGGCGGGGGCGCAGGGTGGTCCAAGGTTAGTGACTCCCAAGCAGGGAGTCTTCTGGTGGGCCCACCTGATCTTGCTAAGCCTGACTGTTCCCCAAACTCCACTTGCAGTTTATGGGAGGCTGGTTTGCCCACCCTATTTTCAAGAATGGAGATTACAACGAAGCGATGAAGACACGGGTCCGTGACAGGAGCTTGGCTGCAGGCCTCAGCAAGTCTCGGTAGGTCTGGGTGGCCACACACTCAGCCAAGAGAGTCAGGAGCAAATGTGGTCTGCAGTACCAAACTGAGTTTCCTCGGTGGACAGCACAGTGGTGAGAGCATGGCTGTTGGGGTCAGAGAGGTGCATGTGAAACAAGTTATTGTATCTCTGAGCTTCCTTGCTTCCCAGGAAGATTAAGCATGATCGTGTATGCGAAGCTCTTAGCCCAGGACCTGGCATTGCTGTGTGCTTAACAAAAGGCAGTTGCTTTTGTTTTTATTCTTCAGAACAGCCAGGAAATCTGTCTCAAGGGCACCCACTTCTTATCAATCCACAACCTCACTCCAAGGACAAATTCCCCAGCTCATTCTTTCCTATTCCATTGCCTTATGAGTGAATTTAATAGCAATAGGTGATGGCCAGGCATATGCTTTTCATCATTTGGCCAGTAGGTGGCGATGGTTTGCACAAAGCAGTCCTACTTCCTGGTCTACCCCTCTCCCAGTCAAGGAAGTAATAGCAACATCAACAATTGGCATTTATGTATCTTCTATTGGTACTTCTATTCCTATTGAAAGATGAGGCACAAAGATTAGAGCATGATCACCCAGCTATTAAATGGAGTTGGGATCAAAATAGGCTGTTTGATTCTAGGGCCCACCCTTGGTTTGAGGCACCCAGCTGGGATTAGAGGAGTGGTGTATGGAAGAAGACAGAGTGACCTGGTCTTATGGGAATATACCCACAAGCTCCAAGGAAGCTCATATACCACAGCTCAAAAAGCATGAATTCCTAGCATAGCCTTTGAGTCTTTCAAACTCTTCCAGATAGCCCAGCTATGGGGATTAAATAATCCAGTCCCCACCCTTACAACACACATCATAGCCTGGTTAGGGCAAGTCCTGCTGAGCAGGCTGTGCCTAGAAGGTCTCATCAGCCAACTCTGGTCTCCAACAAGCAAGTGAGCACTCCAGTCTATCAACACAACTTTGCTAAGTTCCTACTTTGTGCCAAGGTCAGGTCGGGGCCCAGCCTGGGGGGGGTCCATGTAAGAAGCTTCCCAGTCTGGCTCCTCAAGTTGCCGACACATCAGCTGGGAAGACTAATCCACATCACTCCAGGGAGTTCTATTTCCCAATTTCTTCATGTAAAGAAACCTCAAGATGAGCTCAGGGCAGGCTGGGTGGACCCAGGAGACTTCACAAGGTAGGACGTCAGCTGAGCTGGGCTTTAACAATGATAGTGTTTGGGAGAGCAGACGGCGTTCCATTCAAGGGGCAGGATGTGAGCATCAGCGTAGAGAGAGGAATGAGTGGGGCATGTGCAGCTGACGGGGGTGGGGGACGGGAGGAGACAACACAGGATTGGCCTGGCAGCAGTGGGGGGTGGCCAAGGCCACATCGTAGAGGGCCCGGAGGCCAGGCAGAGGGGCTCAGCCTTGATGCCATGGGCCCCGAGGAGCCATTGCTGGCTCCTGAGTGAGGGGTGTGAGAGGACTGGGCTTTGGTGTTCTCCCAGCGAGCTTCAGAAACCTCAGAAAGGGAAGGTTTTGATCGCCCCATTAAGGGTAGCAGAAAGGTCAAGATGAAGGTGTCCAATGGCTAAACAGGACGATCTCCAGGCAACCTTGAACGAGCAGCGCCAGGGTCTCCCTATCAGAAGGGAACCTGAAAGTGCTGCATGCAAGTGTTTGTTAATCAAATTTTACAGGAAAGTCTCACTTACAGTACATGAAAAATGCTCTCTAAATATTTTATTTAGAAAAAGTATAGCAAAATCATGTGAGCAGAGAAATTCAAATCTCTAAAGTTCAATAAATTTAATTTGTAAAAATATTTCTCCTATTGATAAGGATAGACTTTGAAGAGGCAAGCCTAAACAAACGACAATAAAACGGGTGATTTATAAAAGGCAGATTATGGAAATACAAATTGTAAAAGATAGCCAACCTTACAAAGAACGAGTCTCAAGGTATGCATCACAGGCCTTTTTTATTTCAAAATCTATCACAGATGGTATCAGAAGTTGCCTATGTTAATTGTTGAAGGAAATAAAAAAAAAAATAGTATGTGTGCCCATGTGTGTGTGGCCCTGAAGGGAGGTTTCTTTTTGCCAACAGGAAGAGTGAAGGGCTCAAAACAACAGGGGGAAGTGAGGTTTAAGGTCTGGTAGGAGGAGCCTTGGGCACTTTCAGCAGCGGCTCCTGGCCATCTAGTCACCACCAGGTAGTTTACAGCACTCCCCGGATCCTGTGCCAGGACGTCTTCTTCCCAAAGCATGACTCTTCCAGAAGTCCCATGCCCTTAATGGCTCCTTCCACACAGGCTCCCGGAGTTCACGGAGAGTGAGAAGAGGAGGATCAATGGAACCTATGACTTTTTTGGGTTCAATCATTATACCACTGTCCTGGCCTACAACCTCGACTATGACCCTTCGATCTCTTCCTTTGATGCAGACAGGTAAGACGGCCAACAGGGCCTGCCCAGAACAATCTTTGGAAAAAGTAAGTTGCTTGTGCTCACTCTTTACTTAGAGACCTTCATGGCCTCAGAAAACCACCTCTTGATGCCACACATCCTGGGGTTATAAGATGAGGCCCATATCCTGAGATACCTAATCAAACACCTATCAGTCTGACAGTAATACGGGTGAGGATTTCCAAGATGCTTCCCATTTGGACAGACATGCTTGGAGTTTCTAAATAATGTTTTCAAGAAAAATCTTTTCCTTCTCTTGTTTTTGTCGAATTTGTTTCACTTATCAGATGTATTTCAGTTAAAATAACAAGGCGGCTTTTTTTTCTCCTTGTCAGGGTAAACAAACTATTCTGGATTATACAAATAGATGTTCATGGCAGAAACAGCAATAGGAAATTCTTTTGTGTGTCATTTCAGAAGTATGTTATGTGTGGACGGGTAAACTACCACTCATATATATACTTACATAGTTTACATAGTATATATTTATACATAAGTACATAATTGTTTCTTTCTACCTCAGTAGTGTGAATCTGTGCAGATCCTTTCTTTGAAAACAACACCTACACCCCGACTACATCCTGAAACCACCAAAAGTCAGGCTTAACAAAGGAGAGCTGAGAAGACCCCTGCTAGTCTCCAATCACCCACTCAATTCTTGCTGCCTCACTGGTCCTGGGACTGTCTACTCAATGATCTCAAGCTTATGAAATACCCCATTCAGTTCAGCTGAGCGAGATAAATCCAGTTACTGATAAAATTAAATGTTTTCTTTTTTGGAAGAATTTGGATGTAAGATGTATCTAAATAACTGGTCTTAACTTGAAATGTATGACTCGAGATATCCGAGCTTCTATGCCTACCCCAGCAGGTGCTCCTTTGGCACAACCTGTTGCCCGCAACTCGTCCATAACTAGAGAGAAAGGCAGGGTCTTGGCACTTGAAGCAAGTCCCAGCCTACTGCTCCGTCATCATACAAATGGGTTGGTGCCTGTGGCACTGACCAACGTGACTCAGGAGAGCCCATTCTCTGAAGACATAGCACTCGCATCCCATAGGAGACTGGCGAGGGAAGCCTAGGGCCCTTTCGCATTTACCATGGCGTGTGGTGTTAACAAAGAGCCCACGGAGGGGTAGGCCCATGAGTAAGACCCTTCCACTGTACAGGTGAGGTGGAAAGCTAGAAGAGAGAGCTTAAGTTACACCAGCATTGAATAGGGCAACTAGAACTTATGAAAAGAGAATCTGAGGTAATTTGACCATTCTAGGTTTAGTTATGACTCTCAAGTCTAGATAAAACCTAAGGCTTTTCTCAGTATAAATTGTTTTGTCTTTATTGCAAAGGGCCTCTAGGAATTTACAGGACCTAATCTTGTGTTTGAACTGGTAGGGGAGTTGCCTCCATCGCAGATCGCTCTTGGCCAGACTCTGGCTCCTCCTGGCTGAAGATAACACCTTTTGGCTTCAGGAGGATCCTGAACTGGTTAAAGGAGGAGTACAACAATCCTCCAATTTATGTAACAGAGAATGGAATGTCCCTACGGGGAGAAACAGACCTCAATGACACTGCAAGAATCTACTACCTCCGCAGTTACATCAACGAGGCACTCAAAGGTATGACAGGCCCATCCCTTCCTCCACATGTACCTTTCACTGTTGGAACAGCATCTAATATCTGCAGTTAGAGTAGACTACATCCACGAACCCCCATAATGAAAAAGATGAGGCTCCTTGCTCTTGCTGTGCTTAAGCCTTTTTTGGGGGCTGCACTCTTGAGTTTTTTTACTTCCTAGATTTAAGCTCGGCAAGCAAACCCAGTTGCCTGACACAGCTAGACCCGAGTTCCTGTCCCTGAACAGCAGCACCTGAGGGCAGTTTGGGCAAGTGCCAGGAGGAATGGGAGTTGTCTGTAGGGTCTTTTGTTCCCCAAGCAAAAGCTTGATATTCTCAGCTCAGCAGGACTTCGGGTGGGACTATGACAAGGAAACAGTAAAACCTAGTAAGAGAGTGAGGAATGCAGCTGTGAAAACAAACAATTAGAAAATCCTATTCCAGCTAAAATCTTTTCCAAGGGCCATTTATTTTCATAAAGAACACTACCCATGTTCCTGACTCCCATTCAGGACTGAGCCTTTTTAGAAAAACGCTCTGCAGCTCAATCCAAAGGACAAGAACACTACCCATGTTCCTGACTCCCATTCAGGGCTGAGCCTTTTTAGAAAAATGCTCTGCAGCTCAATCCAAAGGACTCCTCTAACAAATATAAAAAAAATTGTGTGTTGAATAAAAAATTATTGAAAAAAAAAAAAAAAAAAAAAAAAAAAAAAAAAAGCTCACCCTGACCTGCAAGTGGTGACTGTGGAAGAGCTGAGCAAGCACAGCCTCAATAGGCCTGGTGGAAAGCTTGTCTTATGAGACAAGGAAATCTCATGCAAGGCCTCTCTGTGTTTGGACAGCTGTTCGGGATAACGTGGATCTTCGAGGATACACAGTTTGGAGTTTGATGGACAACTTTGAATGGGCTACAGGCTTTGCAGAGAGGTTTGGTCTACATTCTGTGAACTACTCCGACCCATCTCTGCGAAGGATTCCCAGAGCATCAGCCAAGTTGTATGCCTCTATCATCCAGTGCAATGGCTTCCCTGACCCTGCCACAGGGCCACACCCCTGTCTCCAGTCAGAAGGTGAGGTCTGGCTCTGAGAGTGACTGAAGCCAGAGGGTAAAGTGTGCAAGGGTCCTTTTTCAGTCTATTTTCTTCTAGTTTATCACCCTCTTCTCTGCCTCTCCACCCCTTCATTCATTCAACCAATATTTATTTTTCTCCAATGTTCTTAGGATAGAGAAAAGGAACTGACTTAAGGTTAATGTTACATCTAGAAACTAGGCCCTGGTCTGGGAATAGTGGGTCTAGAGTCTTGTCTCAGCCCAACCACTAACTTGGTATGTGAACTTAGGCAAGAAATTAGGCAAGTGTTCTGGGTTGATGCAAGGATCAAAGATAATGCCTGAAAACACAGTGCCTGGCATAACATAAGGTGCCCAATATTTGTTGAGTGACTGAAAAAGTATAAGTTACAAATGTATGAGACAGCTATCCAGTTTAAATTATACTCTAAATGCTGATAAAGATGTTTAAAAAATAGTACTACTTAACTTCATTCAGAGGCTCATAACTCAGTAAAAGGGATGCGTACCTCAGCAATGCACTCACTCTGGGTACCTGTATAACTTCTACATCTAGCTTGGGCTTAATACAAGTTAACATTAATCCAATAATTACATCTGTGCTAGTGTGTAAACCTCTTTTTGTTGTCCTCTCCTAGATGCTGGACCCACCATCAGCCCTGTGAGAGAGGAGAAAGTTCACTTCCTGGGACTAACACTAGGTTCAACACAAGCCCAGGCAGCTTTGTACACACTCTTTTCTCTTGTGCTTTCTGGAGTCTGTGGTGTGGCATTACTGTCATACAAGTACTGTAAGCACTCCAAGCAAGGGAAAACACAAGCAAGCCAACAGGAATTGAGACCTATTTCTTCATTCTAAGTCATGTTACCACCTTCTCCAGTTCCGTGAAATAAGCCTAGTCTCTCTGTATACCTTTGTTGCCCACAAAACTTAGGATCTTACATCCTACCTATGCCAGACTTCTTCCTAAAGGCCTTCTGCACTGTTAGAGACTACTTTAATCTTGAAGGATTTCAAGTCCCTGATTAAAAGAAATATCTGCATCTTGCCCCAGTATCAGGAATTCATGTGAGCATTAGTAAACTCTGCAAGGGGCTCTTGTGGAAGTGTGCAGATACCTTCTCAACAGAAATTTTGCAGGCTAGAAGGGACTGGCATAAAATATTCAAAGTGATGAAAAGACCTACAACCAAGACCATACTACCCAATAAGGCTTTCATTTAGAAACAAGAGAAAGAGTTTTTTACAAGAAAAAGCTAACATCACAAACTAGTATTACAAGAAATGTTAAAGAGACTTCTTTAAGAAGATCAAAAATATGAGTAAGACAAGAAAGAAAGAAATTCTCACTGACAAAGGTAAACACTTAGTAAAAGCAGTGGACTAACCAACTATAAAGCTAGTACAAGGTTAAAAATCAAAAGTAGGAGATCATGCGTAATTACAATAAGTTAAGGACTATACATACACATACAGAGAACAAGGAGGTGAGTAAAAATTGTGATTTTAAAATGCACTGAGACTTAAGTGACCATCAACTTAAAATAGACTGTTATAAACAGAGCTTTGTTTATATGAAGCACATGGTAACCAAAAACCAAAAATCTGAGATAAGAATGTAAAAAGATTCCAAACACAAAATTATAGAAAGTCATCAACATACAAACCAAGAGTAAGGAGAATAAGGAACAAAGAACTACAAAATAACCAGAAAACAATAAAATGACAATAACTATATAGCTATCAATAACTGCTATAAACATAAATCAACTAAATGCTCCAATCAAAAGACATAATGTAGCTGTATGGATAAAAGGAAAAAAAAAGACCTGTACTACATATGCTGCCTACAAAGAACCAACGTAGGATCGAAAGACACACACAATAAGTAAAAAAGTAAAGGGAAGGAAAAAGATTTCATGCAAATGGAAATGGAAAGAAGATGGGGTAGCAATATATATATTAGACAAAATAGACTTTAAAATAAAGGCTGTAACAAGAGACAAGGAACAGCATTTCATAATGACAAAAGGATCAATCCAAAAAGATGATATAACTCTTGTAAACATCTAAACACAACATAGGAACACTTAAATATATAAAGCAAATATTGACAGACATAAAGGGAAAGATAGATACTAATATAATAGTAGAGGACTTTAATACCCCATTGACATCAATGGATAAATAAATCATCCAGAAAGAAAAAAAAAAAAAAAAAAGGAAACAGCGGCTTTAAATGATACATTAGAACAGATGGATTTAACATTTTTAGAACATTTCACCCCAAAGAAGAAGAATATACATTCTTTTCAAGCACACAAAGAACATTTTCCAGGATATAACACATTAGGCCACAAAACGAGCCTCAATAAATTTAAGAATGAAATCATATCAAGTATCTTCTCTAGTCACAATGATAAAAAGAAAGCTGAAAAACACAAACACATGGAGGCTAAATAACATGCACTAAACAATAAATAGGTGAACAAAGAGATCAAGGAAGAAATCAAAAGATACCTTGAGACAAATGAAAATGAAAACACAATGGCTCCAGAGATCAAGGAAGAAATCAAAAGATACCTTGAGACAAATGAAAATGAAAACACAATGGCTCCAAAATCTAAGACACAGTCAAAGCAGTTATCGAAGGGAAATTCATAGCAATATAGGCCTACCTCAAGAAGCAAGAAAAATTAGACATAAACACTCTAATCTTACACCTAAAGGCAGAAGAAAAAGAACAAACACAGTCCAAACTGAGTAAAAGGAAGGAAATAATAATAATGATCAGAATGGAAGTAAATGAAATAGAATCTGAAAAACAACAGAATAGATTAATGAAACCAAGAGCTGGTTCTTTAAAAAGATAAACCTTTAGCAAGACTCATCGGAAAAAAAAGAGAGAGAGAGAAAGAGACACACACACACACAAACACAGACTAAACAAGCAAAATCAGAAATAAAAGAGAAGTAACAATTGCCACCACAGAGATACAAAAGATTGTAAAATCTACTAAGAACAATTACATGCCAACAAATTGGACAGCCTGGAAGAAACAGATGATTCCTATAAACATACAATGTTCTAGAGAGCTGAATCAGGAAGAAACAAAAAATCTAAACAGACCAATAGCCACTAATGAAATCGAATCAGCAATCAAAAAACTGAACAAACAAAAGTCCTGGACCAGATGACTTCAGAGGCAAATTTTACCAAGCATTCGAAGAATTAACACCTAACTTCAAACAATTCTAAAAAACTGAAGAGGAGGGGAGGCTCCTGAACTCTTTTTACAAGGCCAGTATTACCCTGATACCGAAACCAAAGACACTCCAAAAAAATTATAGACCATAGATGCAAAAATCCTAACAAGATATTAGCAAACCAAATTCAGCAATACATTAAAAAGATTATATACCATGATCAAGTGGAATTCATTCCTGAGATACAAGGTTGGTTCGATATCTGCAAAACAATTAACATGATACACTACTTAAACAAAATGAATGCTAAAAATCATGATAGCAACAGATGCAGAAAAAGCATTTGACAAAATCCAACATCCATTTATGATAAAAATTCTCAGCAAAGTAGGGATAACAGGAACATAGTTCAACATAAAAAAGGCCACATATAACAGACCCACAGTTAACATCATATTCAATGGTGAAAAGCTAAAAGCTTTTCCTTTAAGAACAGGAACAAGACAAGGATATCCACTTTCACCACTTTTATCCAACACAGTGTTGGAAGTTGAAGCAATAAGACAAGAAAAAGGAAAGAAAAGTCATCCAGATTAAAAAGGAAGAAGTAAAACTCATTATTTGCAGATGACATGATACTATATAGAGGGAACCCTGAAGATTATACCAACAAACTATTAGAACTGAGAAATGAATTCTGTAAAGCAGGATACAAAATTAATATTCAGAAATTGGCTACATTTTTATACACCAATAATGAACTATCAGAAAAAAATTTTTAAAAATCCCATTTATAACTGTATCAAAAAGAATAAAAAATTCAGGAATAAATTTAAGCAAGAAAATATAAGACCTGTACTTGGAAAACTATGACCCTGAAGAAAGAAACTGAAGAAGATACAAATAAATGTAAGCCTACACCATATTTGTGGATAGGAAGAATTAACATTGTTAAATGTTAAAATGTCTACACTACCTAATCTACAGATTCAATGCAATCCTTATTAAAATACCAATGGCAGTTATCATGGAATTAGAACAAATAATCTGAAAATTTATATGGAACCACAAAAAAACCCCAAAGAGCCAAAGCAGTCTTGAGAAAGTAGGAATAAGTTGGAGGTATCACTCTACCCAATATCAAACTATACTACAAGACTATACTAATCAAAACAGCATGGTGCTAGCATAAAAACAGACACACAGATTAATGGAAGAGAATAGAGAGCTCAGAAATAAACCCATGCCTATACAGTCAATTAAGCTATGACAAAGGAGGCGAGAGTATACAAATTAGGTAGAGTCTCTTCAATAAATGGTGCTGGGAAAACTGGACATATATATGCAAAATATATATGTATATGAATCTAGACCACTTTCTTACACCATATACAAGAATAAACTCAAAACAGATTAAAGACTTAAATGTAAAGAAACATGGCAGAGTGAAAGATGTCCCCAGATCTCTCCCCTTGAAACAATAAGCTGAACATCTAAAAATCAACAAAAAACATGCAAACTGCACACCAGCACGTCTGAGCATGGGATCTGCACATAAGAGCTACCACAGGTCAAAACCCTGGGAGTCGGGAGTCGGGCGGTAGACTGTGAGAAACAAAGAAGCTGCCTCTCGAAGCCAGAGGTCCCAGTAGGAGGAGAGAAAGGGGAGAAGGTGTGGTGAGTTCCCTGAACAGCCCTGTCTCGGAGAGCTGTGAGCTCTACGCAGCCAGAGGCAGTGCCTAATCATCAGGGCAGAAATTAGAGAAGTGGGAATGGCAGAGAAGCTGGGATGGCAGAAAAACAACAGTTGATTATTACCGGCTGCCATTGCAAAAAAGAAGGCTGAGCGGCAGACACAGCCCCCATCCTCCACCCAGAGTGCCCCTACCCCATACACTCTGAGATCGAACTCTGTGGAGCCCCAGGGGAATCTGAGCAAATGCTACCAAAACTGTAGCCGACACTGACAGGGACTGAGACTGAGGGTAGCAAGCATGATTGAATATAAGGAGGAAAAAAAGGCATTATTAAGACTATATAAAGCAGGGATCCAAGAGGCTTAGACACCACCTACTGGAAACCAAAAGAAAAATGCCCTCTTTGCAACAGGCTAAAGAGAGATCTTTATATAATAAACCTTCTTTCTGGGGAGGAGGGGGCAGGAAGTAGAACACACTTTCATTCGTGCCCAGGTGGAGAAATAGTCCATTAAATGCCATGAACGATCAAGGTGACAAGGCATCTCAAAAAGAAAGAGAAAAATCTCCAACTTAAAGACATAGAAATATGCAAATTAAATGAAAGAGAATTCAAGATGGTACTTCTGAAAAAACTCAGTGAGATCCAAAACAACTCATATCAATTTCAGGAACTGAAAAAATAACTAGATGAACAGAATGAGTTCTTTAGCAAGGAGATTGAAACCCTCAAAAGGAACCAAATAGAACTTCTGAAGATGAAGAACAAACTGAAAGATGAAAAATGAAATAGCAAGCTTGGTATATAGAGTTGGCCAAATAGAGGAAAGGATCAGTGATATCGAAGACAGACATCTAGACATAAATCAGAAAGGAGAAACCAAAGAATGAAAAATAATGAAAGAGATACAAGAACTAGCTAATACCATCAGGAAAAGAAATGTAAGAATAATGTGCATTCTCAAAGGGGAGGAAAAGGAGCAGGGATTAGAAAGCATTTTCAGACAAATAGTTGATGAGAATTTCCCAAATCTGAGGAATGAGCTGGAGCATGGAATTCAAGAAGTCAATAGAACACCCAATTATCTTAACCCAAAAAGGCCCTCTCCAAGACACACTGTATTAAAATTATCAAAAATGAATA